AATCCTGAAGCACGAAAGAAGGTCTCAACAGCTGGCCTCTTCCACATGCCACTGGAAGATCACATTTTGGGGAGGGAACTACAGAAGAAAGAAGCCTTATGTTGTTTTGTTTCTAGGTGAAACAGGTTCAGTAGAGAACCTGATGTTAGACTTAGCTTTCATGCTTTCTATCTTCTGCCTCTGTGGACTTTTGCCAGCATTTTCAAATATACAAAACGTGTATATATGGTTCTTGAGACTGTATTAGGATGAGTTTTTATTGTCTTCTTAGAGAAGAAACTATTTGTGGACTTCCATCAGGGAGTCTGGTATAAGAGGGAGTAGGGAGAGAATGTCCTAATTTGCTTCAAAGTTTGCTCAGTGCCAGTATTCCTTTCACTGTATGTTTTGTGATCTGATACTGCCCCAGAAATAAATTAGCTGCAACTGGAACGAGCTTGCAAATTTCTCAGTGGTTGCAGGAATCTTTTTGCCTATTAGCTTTGCCCAGAGCTGGGATAAATTACAGCCTTTTAAGGCATCCCTCAAATATGTGAGATAAATGTGGATAATTACAACTTGGGGGTAAGGGGAAACCAAATAGAGAGAAAAATGTATTTTATAGCTTATTTTAAACACTACTTTGTATAAGCGGTTTTTGGTTGGCATGGACCACATGTTTCTCACTCCAGAAGAGTGAGGTGGTTGAAAAAAGAGCTATTAAGTGCACACTGACTTCCTCTATTAAACAGTAAATGTGTACCTAAGGGTGGGACGGGGAAACCCAACAGTATGAAGTAACACAAATCGATGCAGAGGGCTTGTAGCTGCATTTCTTCTTTTACTAAGAGTCTCTCTGAGGTGTCTGGCTTCCTTTGGAAGTTGATGCTGTTCAGTGAAAATGCTTCTATGCTACATCAGTTTGTTTAAAAGCAAAAGGACAAAAAAACATAGCTCAGGAGTAGAACTGACAACTCATATTTTGTGCCTTGAGCAATGGTGGGCACTCAAGTCAGTCATCAGCTGCCTTACTGTTGGGCACTTCTAATGAAAACATTTGCCACGAGTAACTCTAATTCCATGCATAGTGTGATTGTTTTATAAGTTGCTCACTCTTAATTTCCTGGAGCAGAATAATTCAAATTTCAGGTGTTCCCAATATATTCTGCTCTATCTCCCTATATTGCACAGCAAACCTTAAAGAGTAGCTGGGCTCTCTTACAGTAGTGTCAAGAAATTGCTATGACCTTCGTAAATCTGTGTGGTGTCATCAGTTTTAGGATGTTTATAAATGTGGGTACTTAGTAAGCACTGACTGAGGCGGCAGAATGCGATCAGTATTTTGTACATGAACTAATGCATTATCTGTTTGTTTCTATTGTAATAAATTTATTATTATTCCTGTGTTGGATGCTAACGTTGTACTGCTCTTCCCATGTCGATCCTCAGATACCAGTTCTGTGGTGTCCATTGGATGATGGGTACTTTGTTCTATGGTAAGTGAAAGCTCATAGGCTTGGGAGGTCAGAGGAAGAAGTCAAAGTCATAAATGGCTCTTCATCCCATGCAACACCGTCTTTACTGTTCTCAAAGTGAATTGGAAGACCTGGTTGAGAGTTTAGTCATGGTATCTACAAAAGAAAGATGCAATTTTCTAGCCAGTTACATGGCTGACTCTTCCCTTAGGGCAAAAGAACCAGCAGCACCATTACAGTTTGTAATCCATAACCTAAGCAATGAGGATAGAAACAGTGTCTGTATGTGTGTTAAACACACTCTGAGACATTTATAGCGTTTATTTCTTAACAATTTGGTTAAAACATATCTGGAAATAGATGCAAAACATGTGCATCCCTCAGATTTACAGTAACTTCCCCAGTGCAGGACCTTTCAGTTTACCTTCAAACAAGATGTAATGAGGTGTTAGACTAAGGGGGTGGGGTATCCTGACATACAGCAACTTCTTGGCTGGGAAATAAATTGTGAAAGCTGGAAGTGGGTCATGTACCCACGTGTCAAATTAGTAGCTGTGTATCATGTAGCTGCCTTCCTTTTCTGTTGATGGGCAAACTGTCATAAGCTGCTTATAGATCTTGCTAAAATAAAAAGTAGAAGCTTATTCCCAGATCCTTGGAAAGATGCACCGAAGTGGGAGTAAATTAGTAGTAATGTTTGGGTACTTTATGAGATGTTTGGGGCATTAATAGGGAATTCAGAAAATGTCCCCATTATGAAAAATACTTGAGGTGGCAGTAGCAGCTGAAGAATCTAACATGAAACCTCTGTGTACATGTTCAAAGCAGTAATAGGGAAATGAGAATGAAGAGTAAGAGCATTGAATTAAAGTGCAGTTTAATGAAATGGCTTCTTTGAATAGTCCAAATTCTCTGTCTCTCAACAAAGCTGTTCACTAGTGTTTGTTTCAGTGGTGGCAAACCTGGCTTTTTGATAGCAGGCACTGGTGTGGCAATCAGACTGCAGAGAGGAATGCAGCAGATCAGTGTTGCTGTGATTACCTGAAACCATTTCCTTTTTTTTTTTTTTTTTTTTAATAGCAGGCACTGGTGTGGCAATCGGACTGCAGAGAGGAATGCAGCAAATCAGTTACTGTGATTACCTGTACCATTTCCTTTTTCTTTTTTTTTTTAATTAGGGAAGATACTGGGTTAGGACCTCACTCTACTGGTGAGGTCAGTGATTGTGTGATGGACTGGCCTGCCTGGCTGATGAGCCTTTAAGATTCAGTGAGAACTTTTTTCCCCAAAGCTTTGGTGTTTTAAATGAATTACTGTTTTTCGTCATGGAACAAGGATACTGTGTGATTGGCTGTTCTTCTGTTTGTCCAAACTTGTTATCTGAGGCATGGCTTTCCTGTGTTAAAGTCCAGTTTTGTGTCTTTGCGATAGGAGCTGCCCTGACAGTGTCTGGCAGGGCCAGGCAGCAGGTGCTTTGGTACCTGCTGAGCCCTGCACAACTCATCCTGCCTCCCAGGGCTGTTGCTCTTCTGAGGCTCTCGAGGCTGGATGCTTAAGGGCAGAACATGGGGAATATGTTCTTGCAGGCACCTCTTTTGGGAATTAATGTGCTAATGAATACATCTTCCTGTTTTGAAGCACCATGCATTTGTTTTCTGGACTCATCTTTTTTCCAGTACACCACTGAAAAGATTCATGCCTTAATATTAATGGACTATAGGTATCTTTCCGGATTTAGTGATGCTTACATTTAGGAATGTGTATTTCTCTCCATCTTCCAAAGCTATTGACTCTCACTAGAACGTAATGTTACAACTGCTCTGGTCTGGTTCATTCTGTGTAAAGGAAAAGGGATTTTCACTCATAGATCACTTTTATGGACCAAATTTTACCATAAAAGGCATGAAATGTACTAGAGTCAATACAGCTAATACTGATGATATGAGCTAATATAACTGGTTTGTGTGTCAGTGGACTAAATTGAAAGAATTCTTTCATTCTAGATCAAGCTGAGTTTTGTAAATGACTCTCAGCAATTCCATTTTTCTGTATAAGCTGAGTGGAGTCCTCTTGATTGAAGGAGCAAGTATGGCTCTGAGCCACTGAGCATAGGTCATCAACAGCCCTTGGGTCAAGACCCCCCCCAAGGAAAGGTGACCACTTTTCAAGATTTCCTTGCAGCGCATTCTTCTGTTTGTGAGTATTGATGACAAGGCAATGGGTGATCCCTGTCACAGACCTTAATTCATCCTGTCTGCAGCAACAGGAAGATGTGTTGTACCTTTTAGTAGCAATCCCTGGTTCATGATGAGTTTAATGAATAATGGGGTTAATGAAGATCTGTAATAAAGTGGGAAAATATGTATATTTTTTTTAAACTGCTGTCATTCAAGGAAGCACAGGAGAGTGAGAGATGCTGCTGAGGAGCAGCTGTTGCTGTCCCCCTCCCCAGTACCACCTGTTCCTGTTGTCTCTTGCAGGGAGGCAGAGCTCTGTGCCAGGCCCCTGGGGCAGTTGTAGTTTTTGGGAGGTGGGTGCAGGGGCTCTGGGTAGCTCCTTCCCCCTGTCCCAGTGCTATCAGCTGGGCAGCCCTGATGAGAGGGCAGTGTTGGAGCTGAACTGTGTGGTGTTTAACCAGTCCCAAGTCAGATGCTGCCGCGAATGTGTAAAATACACATGTAGGTGCTCTTGTATTTGTTTAGTAAATGATTTCTCTCCTGCCTCAATGCTTTGCACAGTCCTTAATATTTTACAGGAGAACTGCTGCTGCAGTGCAGCTGCTTAAGTTGGGAACCAATGAATTCTTTAAGCATTGCTGCAACAAAAAGGGACTTAGCCTTTTTGTGTCAGGAGAGAGGACAACAGAGTGTTTGTTGAACTCCAGGAGAGGAATGCTGCTTCCTGTCTGCTGGCCAGGTTAGAGGGGAAAGGGTTAAGGGAAAGGTTATAGGGGAAACAGCAGCAACTTCTGTTTTTCCAAGCAAGTGTTAATACCCCATTGAGCACAGGGGCTCCACCAGAGCTGCAAACAGAAGGAGAAGTGGCTTATGGAGGTGAAAGGCACAAACCTGCCTGGGCTGGGGAGGCCTCAGGCAGAGAAGAGGTGGTTTAAGTCCAGCACTGGGCTATGAGATGCCACTCTTGCTGCCTTGTCCCATATTCTTTTTTTTTTTTTTAATGGTGCAACTTCCTATAAATTTCTTAGTGCACTGCAATTTCTGTTGCCTTCTGTAAGTCCTAAGGCTAACTCTTGTTTTAGAACACTGTAAGAGGCTTCAATGCTGTTATTGCAGAAACAAAAATGTTTCTATATATGCCATGGTTCATTTCAGTATTATAAATACTGATGGCTCACTTTCCCCCTCTCAAATAAAAAGGCATTCACTACATTCCATAGGAACACTTTTATAAAAATAAAATTTACATGGATTATATTCACTCAAGACCACATTATTGTTTATAAAACTGAATTAACTTTCATATTAAAAAATACTTTATGAAGATCTGATAAGATAATTCAAACATTTTAGTCACTGAATCCCAGGCTCATCCTTAAGACATTTATTTTTTACAGGTGTAAGCTCAGAGAAGGAAATTAGTGTTCATGTGGTTTCCATCCTTCAGAGAAAAAAGTCATTATTACAGCATAAAGGAAATATCCAATCAGGATAATGAATGTGCAGCCCACTGGCCCAATGCAAAACCAGGATGCAATGAAGTAGACCATCAGCAAAGAAAGCAGAGTCCTGTAGCTCGCCAGGAACCGCAGACTGATTCTTGGTCCCCAGTTCTGTGTTGTTCTGTCCTTCACCACAGGACTGTACCTGATTTTCTGTATGAGGTGAGGGTTGGTAAGATGATAGCGACAAAGTCTACCCACAAAGTCTTCCCTGGAGCAAAGCGCATCCATCTGATCAGCAAACTGAGGTATGAAAAGTTTAAACATTAGTATTCTTTTGCAACTACTGTCATAAAGTAAGCGTGACTTATTTTACAATTTTCTTTGTTTATAGGATAAGGATTGTAAGAAATAGTATCAAAATGCACTTTTAAATAGTAAAACTGCTTCAGTGCAGATATGCCTTCTGCTATACCTCTAGGAAGAAAACAATTTCCTTTTCCTGTCTTAGAAACATTCATTCTGAATGATATTCCTATTGTTCATCAAGCATAAAGAATACATTTAAAATGTTATTTATTAATATTTTGTGTAGGCAAAGCAGAGCTACAGGTAGAGAAGCTGATATTATTAGAAAATACCCATCTAGACCACAATAAAGGAGACATAACAAGAACAAACGTAGTGTCATATATGTGCAGGTGCAGTGCCAAACAGGAATTTGCAATGGAAACTATAAAAGGAGGCAGTGCTGTACTTACCCTTTCGTTAAGTGCTGAGGATAAACGAAATAAGAGGCGGACAAGAGTGGCATTTTCGTAGCTTCGGATGGGCTGAAGTTCAGTATCTCCTTGATACTGCACCTCAAATCTGCGTAAGCCATTTATGATCTAGAAGCAAGAAAATAAACCCCTTATCTTGTAGCTCCCATTTGAAATGCCTTTATACAGGCACTTCTCCTGAGTAGAACAGCTTGTTTTTTCAAAATCGATCTAGGGTAGCTATATGGATTATTTCTTCTCACCTGGTACCTGCCAAGGGGTGTAAGAATGAGGCCATCCTCGCTTTCCACGCAGTCTGGAAGCTGTTTTTTTCCATTCTCATCTTGAGCTGTCCCACACTTCATCATCATCTGGGTCAGCTGGGCTTCATTCAGCTACTCAAGAATAAAACAGTTCTAAAGTATGTGTTTTATCTACCCCCTCCTTCTATTTCATTTCTTCCTTCACAAACTCCTTAGTGCTGGAACCCTTTGACAGCCAGCACAGATACCATAAACTGCTCAACAGCATCTCAGTTAGACATTAAAGGAGGTAAAAGTTTCCAGAGTCCTTGTCTGTGCTCGTCAAATCCAAGAGAGGTGTTCTGTTTTATGTCACTCCTAGAGGCTGTCAAATAGCTCTGCTCTCCTAGGTCAGTTTTGTGGCTGACAGAAAAATGAATCTGTTCTTTTAAGTTTAACAAAAGAAACATCTTACTTCTATTTCATCCACTCAGCTATAGCTGCAGTTATAGGTTGTATTTTCATAGCTCTTTGCATTTAGAAGATACTGGACTATTTTTAAAATTTAAATCGTGTCTTGCCTGTTTGTAAACGTAAGAAAAGGCTTAAGTAAAGAGACAAGTTTGATTATAAATTATAGTCCAGAAGAGTAGTCACTTGAAACAAAGTGGGCTTAATATTTAAAGATTAAGAGCATCTAGTTCTATCTATATAGAAAGCAGTTTTGAGTGGTCAGGCAAAGTCAAGCCTGAAAGATGTTTACAACAAAATCTGCTGGTCTGGATGTCTTTGTGACCCCACAAAAGTACAAGGGTGACAGAGGTATGTTTGAGGAATCCTGACTTTTGGTCACACTGATGTTACTTACGTACCTTAAAGATTTGGCACAAGTATTCCAGTGCCTTCTCTAAATATTCATCTGTTTTTTTGATGCTGTCTTGCCCGATTTCATCGAGGTCATTGCCTGTGTAGGAACCATTCATCTCCGATGGTGTAAATCTAAACCATGAAAAGAAGGACTGGCTGGCTGTTGTCTCTGCAGAATGGTCTGATATGGATTTTGCCGTCTGCTGCGCCTGACAAATTAACTGAGCCAGTTTTAACACCTAAACAAACAAACAAAATTGTGTGGGACAAAGATAAAGGACCACTAAGCATCAATACAAGGATAAACTGTGCCTTGATACCTGGCAGCGAGAGCAAACCCAGCAAACTCACTCTCTTGGCTCCTGTGCACTTGTGCTAAGACTGTTGTAGTTGCATTTCCAATAGGGTAAAAGAAGTTTTTTGCTGTTGAAGCATTTAAAAAAACTTGAGCGCTTCTTTGGTTTTTCAGCTGCTTCTCTTTTTTTTCCCCTCCTGCTATTTTTATCTGATTTGCTGATGGATACCAATCAATACAATGAATTAGCAGTACACAGTAAGCATGTTTGAGAGGAAATACTTGCAATCTACTACTTCAAGGCAGCAAGCCTTCTTACTTAGCAAAAAGCAGGCAGATTTTTATAGCTATGCTGGATTGAGACCCCTCAGGTTCCAGAAGTCACTATCAGTAAAGTTAACTATACAGTAGTGCACAGTGCAAAGTTTTCCACTCTTCTCATAATATGGATGCTCAGCATTGAGAAAATACCTGTCAAAGTAGAAAGATGTGTGACAAGAAGCTTATTGCTTACCAAATTTCTAACTTCTGTGCCAAACATCTGCTTATACTGGAAATCCTGTCCTTCCAGGCTGTAAACATGACTCTTCACCTTAAAGGAGGCATCTGTAATAGTTGGAGGCCACGATAAGAAGCTCCCACCAAGTGTGGGGGTCATAAAAAGTCGGTGTTGACGATGTGGAATAACAAGTTCTGGCTCCAGGAATAACTGTTCTCCTAGAATTTGAGAAAAGTAGTGAAGATGGTTAGGTAATATTCCTGTTTCTGCCTGCAGAAGGTCTAGCTACACAGCATCTTATGTCTGCTGGGCAATTTGCCTTTAGGTAGGCCGGTAGTTCTAGGGGGAAAGAGACATTAATTGCCTTTTTTTCATTTAATCCTCTCTGCCCGCAGCAGAAAATGTCAGGCTGCATTTAAATGCAGACCATACAGACAGCGTTTTAAGCCAGTAACTTTTTTTCAACAAAGGCAGTGGAGAATCCTGACACTTAAGACATTGATACTTGTTAAATTGGCTGTATCCTAATTATCCTGAAGAGCATACATGACTAGTTGCTTTGCTAAGTATAGATACCTATAGAGATATATGAAGTTTTAATCCTGAGATAGATAATCAAGTAAGAAAAGTGTAAGAAAAATTACTTTATTGTAAACACCCAGTATTGTGTTCTTTAAAGAAAAGTTGTGGAATGACATCTAAATGATGGTGGTTAGAAAAGAACTATAGACATATTAAACCAATACAACAAACATTAGTGAAGACACACAAACTTTGGAATGGCAAAATAGCATGGGAAATGGCAGTAAGTCTATTCACATTCCGAGGTACGATGTAGCCATTGTGAAAAAACATTGAGACAGGACAGCATAAGGTAGTGAAGAAACATTGAGAAAGGACAGCATAAGGTATCAAAATATCCATTTACCTTTCAGGATCATTTCAGCCAGATTGGGCTGAGCAAAGACCTTGGCTACTCGGAACACCATGAGAGCATTTTTTGGACTGACCAAGTCTGTTCGAAGAGCTCTGTTCAGAAATCCTACAAACAGCTTCGTATACATGAGTAGGTTTTCTTGAATGAAGGTAGCCCTGTCAAAGCCAGTACAGGATTTGTGAGTACAGCTATTTAAATAATTGTTACTTTGTCTTCTGCCAAATGAGTCATTAAGGGAATGTTTTATACTGTCTCTGGAAAGATGGTTTATTTGCACTGAGATAAAAGAATATTCCTCTCAAAGCAAAAGCTTGTTAGAAATTATCTCTAATCACATACAGGAAGCTAATGCAGGTTGGTGAATGGTTCTTGAAATCCTGCTATTTTACTCAGGATCTGCATAAACTTGAGATTTGGTTCAGGTTACTCACAGCTGTTCTCCTCCTTACCATTTCTCTGACACACTGCGAGGCAAAGACTCCGTGCTTTGTGGCGGCTTTTCCGGAGCGTACCTCCAAGGCTGCAAGTAACTTAACCACATCTCAAGAACCTAAGCAAAATCACACATAAAAACATGTATTTTTTGGAAACATGTATTTTTTGGAAAGGAAGACAGAAAGGCTTGTTTGTTTCTTTTAAAACTAGTGAATATTATCTTAACAATATCTTTTGGAAAGGAAGACAAACAAGGCTTTTTTGTTTGTTTCTTTTAAAACTAGTGAATATTATCTTAATGACACCTAGAAGTCTTTTAGGAATAAAGTGCATCCTAGTAATCTGAGTATCTTTGAAAAAGAACTGAAAAACACTAAGTTGCATGTTCATTAGGACCAACCTGGATTTTCTGTAATACCCAAATGAGGCAGCACTTAGCTACTACAAAAAAAAAACTTAGTTGGTGGTTACATTTAAGGTGCATTTAACAACTCTGTTAGTGCTCACTGAATCTCTGTTGAACTATGTAAACAAGATGCTACATTAATATAATTTCAGCTCCTTGTTTACAAGATGCTACATTAATATAATTTCAGCTCTTGTCTTCTGCATAGACTTACCTACCACCCTGAAGTGGAGTTCTGAGTGCCCTGAAGCCAAGAATAGATTTGCCACGGCTTCATGGCCTTACATGTGTACCTCAAGCACTGCGATACAGCCAACTGTAAGTCTAGTGAGCAAGATATGGCCCTGTTACATTCTGCACTCTTAAACTCCTACATTAATTACTGAAAGTCATGGTCTGATGTATTTATTTTCTGTTTGCAGAATGTAATATTTGCAGTATTTATTGCAAAATAATATTGTATTACTTTTGTTTATGACCTGTTGTATTAGACAGGACATTAAGAAATTAGGACCTATAAGAATGTATCTGTTTTAAAAGTAACACCTACTTCTTTTCAATCAATAGCCATTTTCAGTGTCAGGAAAATCAGCCAGCAGCCTGTAGTAATTCTCACTTCCTTCTTATGTCTAATTGGCGCTCTTTCTCTAACATTAAATGGATGTATTATATAAAGAATTTCACTGTTCTAGGACCTGCTTGCAGAATGTAATATTTGCAATATCTATTGCAAAATAATATTGTATTACTTTTGTTTATGACCTGTTGTATTAGATAGGACATTAAGAAGTTAGGACCTATAAGAATGTATCTGTTTTAAAAGTAACACCTACTTCTTTTCAATCAATAGCCATTTTCAGTGTCAGGAAAATCAGCCAGCAGCCTGTAGTAATTCTCACTTCCTTCTTATGTCTAATTGGCACTCTTTCTCTAACATTTAATGGATGTATTATATAAAGAATTTCACTGTTCTAGGAAAAAAAATATTTAAAGACCAAGAAATAGCTGCTAAACAGCAATAACTAATAAAAAATATTTAAAGACTAAGAAATAGCTGCTAAACAGCAATAACTAATTACTAGTTACATTGAGTAACTTAGAAAGAGAAGCAAGTACATACTGCTCTGAAAGAAGCATCCAGAGGCCAGTGACCAAAACAGTGTTGCAGAAAGATATAAAGTTTCTCCTGGACAAACCGAGGAATTACAACCCTGCAAACAGATTCAAAGACAGTCACATTTAGAAACCAGCAGTAAATTTTAAAAACATGTTGAGTGCAGACTTAGAAAGAGAAGCAGGTACATACTGCTCTGAAAGAGGCATCCAGAGGCCAGTGACCAAAACAGTGTTGCAGAAAGATATAAAGTTTCTCCTGGACAAACCGAGGAATTACAACCCTGCAAACAGATTCAAAGACAGTCACATTTAGAAACCAGCAGTAAATTTTAAAAACAAAAAAACCCAACCCCACAGACCAACAACCCAACACGCTTCCACAATTGCAAATACAGAAAAGACTAAGCCAAACTTGTTCTTTCTTAACTGAAGCTAATTCTGGCTACTGAATTTCCACGCAAATACATAAATATAAAATTCTCCACTAAACTTGGCCAGAACCCTCTGGTGGCATTTCCTTTTCTCTGTCCTGTGCCAAGATGTAGAGTAATAGCAAGACATCCCCCCTCCTGAGGCTGCCCTCCCATGTAGTAGATGAGAGAAGCACCATCCATTAGCTGTCACGTACTTTAATAATATACTTTTGTACTTAACAATCAAACCAACGTAATTTAACCTCTTGGTGGAAGCAGAGCTTCAGGGAGAAGCTCTGTACGTTTTAGAGACAGGCTGCTGGTGTACCTACCTTTTAAACTCCTCCAGTGGGACACCATCCATTAGCTGTCACATACTTTAATAATGTACTTCTGTACTTAGCAATCAAAACAACGTAATTTAACCTCTTGGTGAAAGCAGAGCTTTTCAGGGAGAAGCTCTGTATGTTTCAGAGACAGGCTGCTCGTGTACCTACCTTTTAAACTCCTCCAGTGGGCTGGCTGTGTGGGAGTGGGCTGAAGGGGAGAGAGGCTCTGGTTTCAGGCTGTTGCTGAAAGCATGCAGGTGTTTCACAAGCAGTCTTACCACCAGCACATGCTCTTCCGTGGGCTTAAATGACTCCTAGATCCAAACCAAAAGACAGGAAGATAACGAGTATCGTGTTAAATGCCCAGGAGATAATTCAGGAAAATTATATTATCAGATCAGAAATCAAAATACAAGAAATGCTCTCTTCCATCTAGGTTCTTCACTGTAGTTCAGAGCCACCTGATTTTAGACAGACTTTTTCCCCAGGATAAGCTGCATCAATCTTCTGCCATCAGTTCACTAAGAAACAGTAGCGTATTTTTGATAATGCAATTGTAAGTAAAAGTATCTGCAGTACTCTAATGAATTGAATTTCAGGCTGCCATTAAAGAGCTTGTAGATTTCAACTTACCCCTTTCTGAAATATAGAATATTCAGCCTTTCATTACGGTTTTAAGTTCATTGCTGTGGACAGCACAACAGATCCTTTGTTTATGCTCTTGGCTGGCTTTACTGAGATCTCCTTCCTATGCTGGCACTCATCTGCCTTATAAGAAAGAATAATTCTACAAAGAGTTATGGTAAGAATAAAAACTGCTTCAAGTCCTGTTGCTTCTAGCATCATTATGGGTAGAATTAGCCTGGGTGGGAGTAGCAGAAGGAGCGATGGTGAGCCACAGTGATGCTACTAATAAATGAGTGTATGATTGAGGAGGGAGATGGATGAGGTAAAAAGGAGCTAGTTCTTCTGGGTGCCCAGCATCAGAGCTGGTCTGCTGCAGAACCTGGGAACAAAGCACTAACTCCTTTGCTGCTGTAATCTGCTGCAAGAGTAGTGAACTAGTCTTAGTCCACTACCGAAGGCAGATTTTAAGATATAATTTGTATTCTAAGTTTCACAGCTCTCATGTTTCTCAAAAATTGGGAAGAATGTACATGAAACAAAAGTTACGGCTGCAAGTGTAACAGAAGATGCTGGAAGAGTGTATTAGACAATAGCTACAAGATGTTTCCAGGGTGTCGCATGCAGCCGTGCTGAGGTAAGGTGCTGAGTATGACAGCAGGGGACTGACAGGCATTTTTATACAAAAAGCTTCCACTTAAATCCATTCAACAGTACTTCCACTATTGGGGGCCAGTGTGCGTGTGTGTCTGTCTATGTCTTTGTGTGTCTTTTCTCTGCAATGCCTGAGACAAAGCAGATGTGCTTTTACAATCTCTTAAGATTTTTAATACACGTAAAGTGCACTCTAGGAAAAGATTCAAGGCTTGATGGCAGATACAGTCAGGTAGTACAGCCATGTACAAGCCTCTTCTAAGAGAGAAGATACCCTGTTACCAGTTCTAATGAAGGCTAGTTTTGTGTTCTTGACACCTCCTGGTAAGTCAGCCCATTTTCTACAGGCCTGAGGAGAGTTTCTACATGAGGGTAGAACTCTGAGAAGTTACGTGGTCCTAGGAGTTTAGATCAGGAGAGAGGTTGAGTACTCTGCTATAGGCCTTGAAAGGCTGGAATTGCAAAAAATTCTAGGCTCCCCTTGATGGTACTTTTTGAATTTACAAAACCAGCAGTACCACTATATCAATACATCATTTCAGGTGACACTAGTAGTTTTTCCACTGAGCAGTTCTTATAATTTCCTCTTAGCCTGGATCAGCACCATTATAAACATTACTGGTTTAAAAAGTATTTTCCTCACAAACATTTTTGTTGTTAATCCTTAGCTTACAGGATGGATGTACACCATTCTTTTCTTAACACATTAATGAGATAAATGTAATAGTAAAACAGATTTAAAGACAAGTAGTAGTTCCTGTTTTCCTTTCTAAACAGTATCTGAGGTATCATAGCACTTAGTTTAAAAAAAAAAAAAGGATTATAAAGCAGGAAAATTCTATGTAGTGCTATTCTATTATAGTATAATAAAAGCTTTATAGTAAATATGCTCAGCCCTCCCCTTTCCCAGAATGAAGACCCAATGAATAAAGGGCTGAAGTAGGGAAAGAGAATCAACAATCTGTTCCAACAGGAATGTTTTTACATGCACATTTCCTGAACAATCTGCAAATGTACCACTTGTGTGCTTTTGCAAAACTGGACAGTCAAGTTCACATTGCCACTGCAAATTTAGTACTATCCAATGACATTTCACTGGCTAAAATAATCCTAGATGCTACCTACCTTAATTTTAGCAGACAGCCATGCAAATTCTGATCTTCAATGCAAGGTTTGCTTAAATGACTACTGTGTGAGGGGCAGAAATCTGCCACCAGTGAAACCAGTTTTGGTGTCAAAAAACGTCAGCATAGCTCATTAACCTCTTTCTACAATGCATTACAAGAATGCATACCTAAAAATGGAGCTCCCAATTAGACCTCATAATATACTAGATTTTACCTATATTTTCCATGACCTCTCAGTATCTGTTTTCACTGAAAATTTAGCAAATCTCAATGCAGTGCTGTTACTCAAGTTGTAAACCCACACCTTAGCAGAAAAAGCTGCTGTACAGCTAGCACCAGTACACTTTGCAGATTATATGATGGAACAAGATTTTTAAAAAGGAAACAAAATGAAAAGATGATAATACTTGGTATGCGTGGAGGGCCTGGTAGCCGGATTGGGCAGGACTACCGTGGTGTTTACTGGAGATACTGAGTCGGTAGTGGAGAACCTCCAGCTGAGACAACAGAAACAAAAAGGAAGGGGAGGAGGGAAAAAAGGAGAGAAGAGAGCAAGAGAAAAAAAAAGTGAGAATGAGCCCAAGGAAGAAGGGTGGGGGGAAAAAATGAACATCACAAATACAATCAGGGACAACATATCACAATAACAACTGCAGCCACAGTATCCTCTTCTTTCTGGTGTTGAGTATTTCATACCCTTTATCAACCTGGAAATACAACTGACAACAGATATCAAAAAAGTATAGCTGTAGTGGCTGTGGCTGTTCTCTTTGCTGACCACAGAGCAAGTTCTGGTAGGGCGTATGGAACTTTTGCCAAATAAACTCCCCATTTCAGAAGTTAACTGAATTGCAGCAACAAGGATTAACACACTGTTATAGTGTTTCATTAAATAATGGAGTAAAAGTGTTCAATATTCTGCAAACTTTTTAAATACTATTTTGAAAGCTGTCATTTCTTCCTGTGCTGCTGGAGAAGCAGGGTTTGTATGCTGGGAAGAAACTCAAATTGATCCTTTCTTCTTTCCAAGGAACAGGAAGAAAAAAAGTTTGGCTTTTTGTAATCACTGTGAACTTGTCCGGTAAGTTTCCAATTTGGAGAGATCCTTTGTCTTCTCTTTATAGTTAAAGGCCATTTGGGAAGGCTACAGGTCTTGTGTATTTCCTCAAAATAGGAAATTACTATTGCTACTAGGGAAACATCACATGTATAAAAAGGAAAAAGACATACATAACGTCAGTGTTACGTGCTGATGCAAAAGGCATCTTGCCTTAACACTGAGATCTCTGCAAGTCTCAGCCAGATCCCTTCTTAGATGAATAAGGTATTTTTTGACAATGTGATGGTGAAGAGGATACTGTAGCGACAGTGACACACATGTATGAAATTAATGAAAAAACATAAAACAAAAAATGTACACTACACAGATCCCAATGACTATTGTCAGGCATCTAAACTAACTCTCCAGATCACACCTCTGCTGTCTTTGTACAGCCCCTACCCAATCTCCTCTAGCACCAATTTGGTATCTTTTGTTTTTATACTCTCCTAAAAGAGTGGTAGGATTGTTACTGCAAGCTCCCCAGCAGCTCAAACACATCATCTGCTTCACAATCAACTCCCCTGCCCCAGGAATCGGCAAGAGCTCGTAGTCTAAGGGGTGTTCCACAGGCAGTGCTGGGGTCTGTGGCACCTGGCACTGGAAGGTCAGGAAGCATTGCATAAAGTTTTATCGAACAACTTCTTTTTAAGGGTTCCTTGTGATTACAGCAGAAGGGAATAGGGAAAGAGATGCTGCACGCTTGGGCCCTGGATGATCTGAGAAAGAGAAAGCGAATAGACAGTGTAAAAGAATGGGAAAATAGTTAATGGGGAAAATAGTGAAACTAAGCATAGCAAATAGTGTCAACCTCAGGTTCACACCAGACCCAAAAAGAATTCAAATCAATAAAGTAGAAAAGAAGTACATCTTCTCAAAATAAGTTATTTACCAGTTATTTCCCTTCCACCCCCTTCTACTTGTAAATGGAAGTCTGTGATGATGTTAACAAGTTATCTATCATTCCTTGAGGCACTTCACAGGCCAGTTACATATCTGGGATCTGGCCCATCAAAGCAAACAAGTCTGGCTGCTGGACCAAGAAAGAGCAAGCTATATGGAACCTCATCCCACCTTCCAATACAGGTATGTAGCCATTTCAAGTCACTGATAGTCAAACAGGTCTAGTTCCAGGGATTAATGGTCACTAATTACCCCTCCTTCCAAACACACAGAAGGCTAAATAGAATCAAGTGAACCTGCATAAATATTAATAATTCTAAGAGTAAGGTTTAGGGTGATCTTGGGTTTCCAGTCAAGCCCTTTAACCCTTATGTTAAAACAAAACTTGCATTTCTGCATATTCTACTTCCTCATTTGAGGAACTATGGTGCAGACTATTCTTCAGCCCACTCTGAGAGCAGTTTACAAAGTTTAATCTAAGCATCACAGGTTTATGAATAGTCCTGTCCCCGACTGATCTGGAACATTGTCTCAGTCCTGCAGGAGGGATCCTTAATCCATTTTATGGATGTCATGGGGAATTCCAGTCACCTATTCAGGTGTTCTAACTCCCAAAGAGCATCCTATTTTACATGCTTCCCATCAAAGATGAAACTAAAGTATCATCAGGGAGTTATGGCCTCAAGTTGTGGCTCAACACACCTTGTGGAGAATCCCGAAGTGATGATTTTAGCTCTACCTATGCCCTATTCCACCATAACATTCATAGTCATCGTCTAAGTTATTGCTCCCTAGTGTTAGAAGAGAGCATCTGAAATACAGAGGGTGAACAGAGGAGAGAAGTTTAAAGCAATCATTATTTCTGGCCTAAGCACAGTGCTTGATCCACAGAGACTGGACAGACAGACAGACCAAAGGTACTTCAAGCAAAGCCTTTCCATCACAGGTGCACAGCCATGCTGCTGGGAGTCCCAAGTGGAGACTTTGCATCATTACTGAGTTTGCATTTTGACCTCAACTTTAAAAGGCAAAACCCATCACACTTTAGCACTCCAATGTTTTTCCCTAGCAAAATATAAATATGTTTGTTATTTTATAGCCTGTGGAGCAAAGGATCAGAATTTCTGAGTCAATCAACTCTCATGTTACTCTTTCACACAGGAATAAATCCTGAGTAGCTTTTATATTTCTCTTTCCCTTCTATCAAAGTCCCACTGTGTCCCAGAGGGAATTCAGAGGATCAATATTTTCTCCTTCAAATTCCCTTTACATTTATAGTGCTTTTGATCTAAGCTTCCCCAACACTTACTTAGTTTTTACATGCAGTAGTTTGTTAGTGAACAGGCCACCACAAACTGCTTAAAACAGTGTATTATCCGAGCAAGAGCTTGTAAGAAATTCTGAACTCTGTAGCTACTGAAGTGCTTATTAAGTACCATTATGGGGAAAAGCGTATTATGGGATATGAAACAAAATGGTTTATTCACTTAAAATTGAAGGACAGTTGGTAAGATTTCCTCATACTAAAAAAAATAATATGCTTATCAATCTTAGAAATTATTAATTTGTGTTTTAGTAACAGTTGCTATCGCTGCTGAAAATTAATTTAGGTAATTTTTAGCAGCCATATTACCCCAGTGGGATTTAAGACTATGATTTTATAGTGGCATCTTCCCCGTCATTAGTACTTTGATTACTGGTGTTCAGATTGTTGTGACCATCCCACAAACTTGTCTTTTACAAAAAAAACAAAACCCAACAAAACAAATGAAACAAAACCAACACAACTTCTGCAATGAAAGCAAATTTGGATGACACACTTATTCACAACACTCTTCATAACTGGATTAGCAATTCTGACACTTTCATGTAGATAATCTGGTAAGTTATTTCTTTCCTTTGCACCAATATACCAAAAAAAATTCTCCATGGAATAAGAGATTTACCCCAAGGTAAGAGGTCAACCATCAGATGATGCTCATGAATGAAGTACAAACTATTACCTTGACATGAGGGGACTGCATTTTCTGATACATTTCCAGTGAATAATGATGAAGCCACATTTCAACAAAGATCTGCAAAACAAATATTTGCTCAGCTAGGGAAAAAGAAATAATCCAGGACTTGTCAGTCATAAGCTAGATATAAGGGAAAGCCACGGTATATAATTTGAAAACTAAGCTGTACTTGTAAATAGACAGGCACCAAGTCAGCAATGTTACAGGTTATCACCATGTCAGCGTAGATGACTGCGTTGCCATACCCTTAGCACTTGCTAAGCATCAATAATTCAGTTCAGCAACAGAGTATGAACTTGTTTCAGAACAACTTAAGTTGTTCTGTTAAGTCCAGATTCTCCTTTCCCTTCCCTTGGTGTTGAACAGAACCGATTTCTCTGTGCTCAACCTTTGCTTAGAGCATAGAATTGATTAAAGATCCAAGGCAGGGAAAAGAAATCATGCTTAGAAACTTTTCTGGAAAAAATTACTCAAATGCTTGCAATCAATTGTTAGATATGCAGTCTAATAAAAGATACTACGTGCCTTTCTAAACTAGAAGTTAACAGTTTCACAGTGCTGCTTTGTTTCACTAACAGAAAACAACAGCTGCACTGCTCAATTCCAAAACCAAGCTAAAGCAAATGGCATAACTGTCTCTGGTTTAAAAAGAAGAAATTCCTCAGCAGCAAGAAATGTTGTGGGGTTTTTCCTTCCTTAAATCCAACTGACCTGAAGCAACGTTTCTGATCTCCAGATCTCCTGGGAAGCTGGGTCAGCATTCACGGAAGGCTGATGGGCGATGTGCCGTTTCAGCAGGCTGGTGTGATGCATGCCATAGGAAGTGAAAGGCACTGGTGGAGACCTTTAAAGATAAATGAATGGAAATACCAAGGTCAGTAACTCTCAGTACAGGGAAATCTATCATTGCTTTTAATCACTGGTTTATAAACTGGAAAACAGTCTTTGAGAAGTAAAACTGCATAACTGATTACACATCTTAAACTTCTACAAGATGTTATAATTACTAGGCACATGCTAGGGCTCAGACCATGGAAATTGACATATGAAATGTATTTTAAATAGAAAATTACATGCTAGGGCTCAACAGACCATGGAAACTGACATATGAAATGTATTTTAAATAGAAAATAGAATGGCTATTTATTTTTACGTTGGTATGAAATTGCTAGTATTGCTAACATTTTATAAATTTGAGTAGCAAAACCAATTTTGAAAATGCTGACTTTCACCCAGCCATTACAGAACAAAATATGGGTTCTTGTATTGGAGAACTTTCACTTCAGCTTTGTGAGTCTATTTGTATGCCATTATCATGTGCACATCCAGAACTTGAGTAAGTGGTCAAAAATCTTCCATCCTCTTCCTTCCAGTTGTGGCTAAATAGCTTGACCTATTACCATGCAAAAAGTCACCTGAAATGCAGTCACTCGTTGTACAATTTGGTTGTCTTGGCTTTTTATATCAGGAGGTTATGATACGATTTGGTTACAAGTATTTGTCTTGGCTTTTTATATCAGGAGGTTATGAATTGAGAAACCTATGAGCACTATCAGTGTGCAACAAAGCCACAGATGTGGTACTGGCACAGCAGTTTCAAAGAACTGCAAAACAGGTAATAAGAGCAATAAACAACTAAGTATGGCGAGCTTGGAACTGAAACAAAATGACCAACTGCCAAGTTGTCTGGCTTTATAGCAACCTTAATGAAAGATGCATGTTCCTTGTAGCAGCAGTTATCACCAGTGCCATATTTACCACATACCATATGTGAAAAATAGTAAAAACTACTGTCAAGTTACAGTCAGATCTGTCCTACTCCAGTTGCAGGGCACAAAACACAACTGGAGCTGCTGAAATGATTAATTTTTGTTGCTTTGTGTGTGCCTTTTCTGTTCCAATAATAACTACCTTTCAGACTTTCAAATGAAACCTTTAGGTAAAATTTTCTGTTCCAGTAATAACTACCTTCCAGACTTTCAAATGAAACCTTTAGGTAAAATTAAGTGAACATACATCTATTTAATTTTTGTAATTATATAATAAGTGCAGACGAATCATAAAGACAGAGGTGTCTTCTACTTCTTAGGTATTCATTCCAACAAGCCACATTTTGTAAGCACTATTCCCACTTTGCCTCTGGCACCAAAGTCATTACCTGGGAGTCGGGGAAGGGATGGCTCCCCCAGGATTTGAGTACGGTGGAGGAAGGACACTTCCTTCTGTGGGCAGGAAACACTTCAGGTACGTGTCCACCAAGATGAAATAAGCACTGTTGGAAGGGCTGACATGATGGGTGACGGGCGAGTTCTGGAACAGACACAAGGATATACTTGGAGTTACATATGGTCACTTTAAGGCACTGCCAGGAAGTGTCTGCTGCACAGCCAGACCCATTTAGTATACATAAGCAGAAGCCCAGAGGCTATTAAGGGTGAACCGAAACCAAAGACACTCTGGAGCAAAGGTTAAGTAACTAACTGTAAAATAACTGTTGAAGCAGTAGTGAATGTAACTAATCAGGAGAAGAGATGTCATAGTTTGGGCTGGACTGGCCACTGCCTCCACCTCTCAAGGAGTTAGCACAGGTAACAACAGGAAGAGGAACCAATAACCAGACACCATAGCACAAAGCTGGGGTTATGAATGTCTAAATGGTGTTATTGGACAGAGGGATAGGAAACCCATTTGGAATCCATCGGCTCCTCCGTGTTGGTATGTTGTTGGACAAACTGCTTACTGGTATATCTAAGGTGGGTATTGTGTTTATTATCCAGTCTTACATAATGAACTGAACGAAAGCAGTAACAAATTCTAGAAGTACAGATAAAACTACTGTTAGTTTAGCTGGACAGCATCTCAGCAGGCTCTTAAAGCATTGTGAAGAAAGGCTAATACTATTTTAAGGGAAAAATAGAACTACCTGAATCGATTTCTATACAGCAGGTAGGTGGCAGCAATAGAAAACATAACAGAACAACTCTGCAGATAAACCACTTTTGTTTGAAATGTCATACTTCATACCTACAGTAGCAGCCAGTGCTCAAACGCATGGGCACAAAGCGCTGCCAGGGAAGGCACCGCTCTGTGACAAGCTTGGAAAATGATTTTCAGTCCTGCAGCTAGTGGTAACCAAAATAAAGCACACATTTTTTCCAGGAATGGGATAAGAATCACAATGCAGCTTCCTTGGCTGAACAGCACAAGTATCTAGCTGCTAACAATCACCATCTCCTGCAAAGTTTATGGCTGGGAACTCTCCTCCTCTAGCCACTGTTTAAAGAAATGAGTATGCTCGGCTCCCCCAGGATTTGAGTACGGTGGAGGAAGGACACTTCCTTCTGTGGGCAGGAAACACTTCAGGTACGTGTCCACCAAGATGAAATAAGCACTGTTGGAAGGGCTGACATGATGGGTGACGGGCGAGTTCTGGAACAGACACAAGGATATACTTGGAGTTACATATGGTCACTTTAAGGCACTGCCAGGAAGTGTCTGCTGCACAGCCAGACCCATTTAGTATACATAAGCAGAAGCCCAGAGGCTATTAAGGGTGAACCAAAACCAAAGACACTCTGGAGCAAAGGTTAAGTAACTAACTGTAAAATAACTGTTGAAGCAGTAGTGAATGTAACTAATCAGGAGAAGAGATGTCATAGTTTGGGCTGGACTGGCCACTGCCTCCACCTCTCAAGGAGTTAGCACAGGTAACAACAGGAAGAGGAACCAATAACCAGACACCATAGCACAAAGCTGGGGTTATGAATGTCTAAATGGTGTTATTGGACAGAGGGATAGGAAACCCATTTGGAATCCATCGGCTCCTCCGTGTTGGTATGTTGTTGGACAAACTGCTTACTGGTATATCTAAGGTGGGTATTGTGTTTATTATCCAGTCTTACATAATGAACTGAACGAAAGCAGTAACAAATTCTAGAAGTACAGATAAAACTACTGTTAGTTTAGCTGGACAGCATCTCAGCAGGCTCTTAAAGCATTGTGAAGAAAGGCTAATACTATTTTAAGGGAAAAATTGTGAATGGTACTTACCTTCTGTGTGATCAAACTAATTGCAAAGTAGAACATATAATATTCAAATGGATCTGGGAGAACAGAGTCAGGGATCAGATAATAAAAATCAGGTAGAGCTGTTAGATATCTAGGGATGATGACTAGACATTACATTTTTATTTTGTCAACACTAGATTAATTTGCTAGAGCTTAACAGCAAATTCAGCTTTGCCTTCTTGCTCTCCACCTCACTCAAACGCTGGTAACTGATTCTATGATTCTATGAACTGAGGTTTTCTCTATGTGGAAAGTTGTGTTTGCATTACTCTTCTTAGCACATTTGACTATCTCAAACTGGTATCAGTGCAGCTGCTTCCAACAGCCACACTAGCTGCAAAGTTAACATGCCCTTTTGCTGTCATATTATATAAACTATGACTAGTTACGAAAACAAGAATTGTGAAATACATGATCTACTGAAACTCCTGGGAATTTTGTTGTTGACTTGAATAAGGCCACAAAATTCCCCCACAAGGGTTTATAAGAGGAGGACAAATTTATTTTTTCATTGGAATCTAAACATTTCTTAATCAGCCCAAACTCTTTAGCATGGTCGTGATTTATCATGAACACACAATAAACATACAACAGAAATGCTCGTAATCTCTCACTTTTAGATATTTAAAAGAAATTAAATATCCAATTGTTAAAAGGATACTGAGAGCCAAATTCAAACCTAAACCACCAGATGAAGGAAACTGTACTTTGTTGTGGTATAAAGAGCATTCAGGTAGGACTTGCTCTTGTATTGAAGCCTTCACAGGGCCCTGAAAGACAGAGTAATGAAATATTAGATCAGGCTACTCAGCTTACTTGCAGAGTATGTTTTCAGATAGTGAAGTTCTGCTGCATTCCAGCATTCTGGGGTGACTGTCTACATTCAGCTCAGTGGGAATTTACTGCATTGCAGTAGGTCCTTGTGCAAATGCATACTCTTTAGAGAACTGCCAACTTCCTCACTGAAAATGAGTATTCAGTATAAGAAGAAGAAAAAAAAAACAAACAAACAAACAGAAAGAGGGTCTTCATCACCAAGTCTTTTCCATTTGGAGTGGGAGCAGCAGAAGACTGGTGTATGGCTGATGGTTTTGTTAGGGTAACTGAGCTGTGGGCCAGCAATTACTACATACTTCAATCATGTTTCCTTTCGTTAAAGACTATAGAACTCCCTGAATCGATTTCTATACAGCAGGTAGGTGGCAGCAATAGAAAACATAACAGAACAACTCTGCAGATAAACCACTTTTGTTTGAAATGTCATACTTCATACCTACAGTAGCAGCCAGTGCTCAAACGCATGGGCACAAAGCGCTGCCAGGGAAGGCACCGCTCTGTGACAAGCTTGGAAAATGATTTTCAGTCCTGCAGCTAGTGGTAACCAAAATAAAGCACACATTTTTTCCAGGAATGGGATAAGAATCACAATGCAGCTTCCTTGGCTGAACAGCACAAGTATCTAGCTGCTAACAATCACCATCTCCTGCAAAGTTTATGGCTGGGAACTCTCCTCCTCTAGCCACTGTTTAAAGAAATGAGTATGCTCTAAACCCAGAGCACTGAGGATATACCTTGGCCTATATTGATCCCTACATATGAAGCATGTGCAAAGTTCCAATAGCTGCCACAACAACTACATTCTCTTCTTACAATTTTTTTCAGTTACTCACTGGAAGATACGAGACTGGGAAATCATATCTATACTCTTCTGCTTGGAGTTTGTAAACCAGCTTCATCATTGGGCCACTGAAAGCAAGCATCAGAAAGAAAATCCGTGGTAAGTACTCTCTCCTGTTTGACTCTTGTGAATATATGTTTGCACAACAGAAAAAGATCAAACACTGCTTCTTTGTTCCCTGTACGCTTTTTAAATCTGTACTGAAATGAATGAGTTTACCTGGGATCCAGGAAATCCAAAGCCACGGGATATTCGATAGGATTTGTTTTTCCTTGCAAACAGCGAAGATTCCAGCCTACAATGATGCCATCCAGGCTACCAAAAATGCTCTCCACCAGCCATGGGAAGATGCCATGTAGCTCCTTTAGGGAAAACAGACACAAATGGTTAATGTGCACAACTGCTCATTTGAGCAATCTCTACTGCAGATAATGGAGTGCACAAATCTGTCTGCCAGCTATTAACAGCACAGAATTAGTTATGACTGTTCCCAGATTCTCACTGTCTGGGCAGAGTTCCATTCAAAGAATGTATTATAACATGGCAACTACAGGAAATCTATCCTGATTTCTGATCCCACTAAATTTACAAGGACATTGATCAGCATTGCATGCAACTACTTGTCGTATTTTCAAAACTAGTCTTCCTCATAAATTGAGGCTGAAAGTTAAAAACGAAGTGCACTCAATGGACACAATCTTTTAATGCCTAGGACAGGTTTGTAACTCCTGGGAAGTACTGGATTCCCCCCATTTCTCCTGGGGTCCTCCAATGTCTTGATAAGAGAAATAGCAAGGAAGAAAACAGCGATATGAGAAAAAGCGATCTCCCCTGAAACAGGTCGGGGCAGCGACTGCTCACCTTGGCGGGGAACTCCTCAATGTACCTCTCCAGATCGTGGCACCTCTGAACAAAGGGTTTGTTCACACAGTCTGCCTTCAGCGTGGCCTGTTACAAACCAGAAGGGAAACCGGATCACGGCTGCCACGGCTACTCACAACGGGTATGAATGAAGGGTAAAGAATTCCCTAATTACGCCGCTCTAATTACGCCCCAATGACGCATTTCTGTTAATACGGCGGAGGTTACACCCACAGGGCCCTGAAAGACAGAGTAATGAAATATTAGATCAGGCTACTCAGCTTACTTGCAGAGTATGTTTTCAGATAGTGAAGTTCTGCTGCATTCCAGCATTCTGGGGTGACTGTCTACATTCAGCTCAGTGGGAATTTACTGCATTGCAGTAGGTCCTTGTGCAAATGCATACTCTTTAGAGAACTGCCAACTTCCTCACTGAAAATGAGTATTCAGTATAAGAAGAAGAAAAAAAAAACAAACAAACAAACAGAAAGAGGGTCTTCATCACCAAGTCTTTTCCATTTGGAGTGGGAGCAGCAGAAGACTGGTGTATGGCTGATGGTTTTGTTAGGGTAACTGAGCTGTGGGCCAGCAATTACTACATACTTCAATCATGTTTCCTTTCGTTAAAGACTGTAGAACTATCTGAATAGATTTCTATATAGCAGGTAGGTGGCAGCAATAGAAAACATAACAGAACAACTCTGCAGATAAACCACTTTTGTTTGAAATGTCATACTTCATACCTACAGTAGCAGCCAGTGCTCAAACACAGGGGCACAAAGTGCTGCCAGGGAAGGCACCACTCTTGGACAAGCTTGGAAAACGATTTTCAGTCCTGCAGCTAGTGGTAACCAAAATAAAGCACACATTTTTTCCAGGAATGGGATAAGAATCACAATGCAGCTTCCTTGGCTGAACAGCACAAGTATCTAGCTGCTAACAATCACCATCTCCTGCAAAGTTTGTGGCTGGGAACTCTCCTCCTCTAGCCACTGTTTAAAGAAATGAGTATGCTCTAAACCCAGAGCACTGAGGATATACCTTGGGCTATATTGATCCCTACATATGAAGCATGTGCAAAGTTCCAATAGCTGCCACAACAACTACATTCTCTTCTTACAATTTTTTTCAGTTACTCACTGGAAGATACGAGACTGGGAAATCATATCTATACTCTTCTGCTTGGAGTTTGTAAACCAGCTTCATCATTGGGCCACTGAAAGCAAGCATCAGAAAGAAAATCCGTGGTAAGTACTCTCTCCTGTTTGACTCTTGTGAATATATGTTTGCACAACAGAAAAAGATCAAACACTGCTTCTTTGTTCCCTGTACGCTTTTTAAATCTGTACTGAAATGAATGAGTTACAGGGGCACAAAGTGCTGCCAGGGAAGGCACCACTCTTGGACAAGCTTGGAAAACGATTTTCAGTCCTGCAGCTAGTGGTAACCAAAATAAAGCACACATTTTTTCCAGGAATGGGATAAGAATCACAATGCAGCTTCCTTGGCTGAACAGCACAAGTATCTAGCTGCTAACAATCACCATCTCCTGCAAAGTTTGTGGCTGGGAACTCTCCTCCTCTAGCCACTGTTTAAAGAAATGAGTATGCTCTAAACCCAGAGCACTGAGGATATACCTTGGGCTATATTGATCCCTACATATGAAGCATGTGCAAAGTTCCAATAGCTGCCACAACAACTACATTCTCTTCTTACAATTTTTTTCAGTTACTCACTGGAAGATACGAGACTGGGAAATCATATCTATACTCTTCTGCTTGGAGTTTGTAAACCAGCTTCATCATTGGGCCACTGAAAGCAAGCATCAGAAAGAAAATCCGTGGTAAGTACTCTCTCCTGTTTGACTCTTGTGAATATATGTTTGCACAACGGAAAAAGATTAAACACTGCTTCTTTGTTCCCTGTACGCTTTTTAAATCTGTACTGAAATGAATGAGTTTACCTGGGATCCAGGAAATCCAAAGCCACGGGATATTCGATAGGATTTGTTTTTCCTTGCAAACAGCGAAGATTCCAGCCTACAATGATGCCATCCAGGCTACCAAAAATGCTCTCCACCAGCCATGGGAAGATGCCATGTAGCTCCTTTAGAGAAAACAGACACAAATGGTTAATGTGCACAACTCCTCATTTGAGCAATCTCTACTGCAGATAATGGAGTGCACAAATCTGTCTGCCAGCTATTAACAGCACAGAATTAGTTATGACTGTTCCCAGATTCTCACTGTCTGGGCAGAGTTCCATTCAAAGAATGTATTATAACATGGCAACTACAGGAAATCTATCCTGATTTCTGATCCCACTAAATTTACAAGGACATTGATCAGCATTGCATGCAACTACTTGTCGTATTTTCAAAACTAGTCTTCCTCATAAATTGAGGCTGAAAGTTAAAAACGAAGTGCACTCAATGGACACAATCTTTTAATGCCTAGGACAGGTTTGTAACTCCTGGGAAGTACTGGATTCCCCCCATTTCTCCTGGGGTCCTCCAATGTCTTGATAAGAGAAATAGCAAGGAAGAAAACAGCGATATGAGAAAAAGCGATCTCCCCTGAAACAGGTCGGGGCAGCGACTGCTCACCTTGGCGGGGAACTCCTCAATGTACCTCTCCAGATCGTGGCACCTCTGAACAAAGGGTTTGTTCACACAGTCTGCCTTCACTCCCCACCCACCAGCAGGAAGCTGGGCTGCTGCAGGTGCGGGCCGGCCATGCCGCCTCTCCCCAGGACGGCGGGGCCGCGCCTGGCCGGGCCGCGCTGCGGGAAGAGGAGCGGAAGCGGCCGTTAATGCTTCAGGGCACGATCGAGGCACCGGCTCCCTCACGGCCACCGGCGCGGACCGTTGACGTCACCACTCGCGTCCGGCGCGCCGCCGTGACGCCATCGCGCCGGACGGGTGGTAGGGGCGTGGGGCACGGCGCTGTTGCCATGGTGACGTGCCCGCCGCCATTCCCCCTCCAAGATGGCGGCGCGGAGGGAAGGCCCTACTCGCCGTCCGGGTGGTTTCAGCCCCTTCCCGAGAATCTGTGTGGGGGATTTCTTTTGCGGACATATCTGGAGAGCTGTTAAAAGTGAACGGTATCTCCAGGCAAAAGGGACGGCGGTGAGACAAGCCCTCGGCAGCTTGGGGTTGGGTGGTGGTGAAGCCGAAGCCACCCTTCGCTCAGATACTGGTGTTTGGAGAGAGCGTCTTGTGAGCAAATTAAAAGTGGTGTGGGCACAGACAGACCTCGTTGATAATATGTACTTCCTGACTGTTCGAAAGGACATTTTTCATCCAAACTATGGGTGAATTTGAAAACAGTGTGTTAGAAGAACATCACAATACTATGGAGGAAAAGTAGGTTTTAAATAGAAGTGTATTAAATGGCCAGAAAACTACATCAGCAAATGAGGCAGCTGTGACATGAGACTGTTAGAAATGAGAGCTGCATACATCAGTTGAGCCATAGGAAACACCAACGACATGTTTCAAGTTAAGAGTATTGCTAAGGGAAGCTGAACTCACCAGGAAAAATACATGGTCATAGAGGTAAGGATAATCACTTCTCAGTGTGTGAGGAGAGCGAAAGAAATCCTTAAGATGGTAATATCCCACTGGTAGATACACAAAGTAAAATTAAAATTGCTAATAATGCAAAATATTTTTAGGTACATGCCTATAATTCATATTTAGTAGGAAGCGAGATAATACATTTAATTCCAAAGCCCCAGTAATTTGTGTGCAAGAGAAATAGATGGGCAGAAAAACTATGTGCTGGTCATTTTTTAAAAAATTGGGAATTCTGTGGAAATTCTATAAAACTGGAGGAATGCTCATGTTGTGCCAGTATTCAGAGAGAGAATTCCACTCAGATGTCTAGAAAAGAATAATAAATTTTATAAAATACCAAAGACAGCTATATAATTAACACCAGTAAACATGATTACGGAAAATAATCTTGCTCAGGCAAATTTGGTTTTGTGACAAGATCTAATGGATTTGTAAGAAAAGATTAGTGTGGGTAAAATGTAGATTTTCTTGATCATTTTGATTGTTTTATGCAAGGAGGTGCAGGAAAAGTTGAGTGAAATTATCTGGTTTAGGTTGTGCAGGAGGTCAAACAAAATGATGTGGCCTCATACTCCACTGCTGTCATTAACGTCGAAACAAAGCATAAAAAATTGTGTTAGAGAAAATGACAAATGAAATCCTTTTGTAACATCAGCTCTGACCCTGCCAGAGGGTCACTAGAAAGGTGACTTTATTCACTCAGTTTAATAGGATTATTTACCAGTGTAAAATTATTCAATACTTACATAAAAGCTTACAGGATCAGAATTAAAAATGGTACATTATTTCTTGGTATTGACATCTGCTTCCACTCCAGTCTGCTTTTCCCAAACTGTATCTCAAAACTGCTTTTTGATCTTGGTGATAAGGTGACTTTATTCACCCAGTTTCATAGGATTATTTACCAGTGTAAAATTATTCAATACTTACCTAAAAGCTTACAGGATCAGAATTAAAAATGGTACATTATTTCTTGGTATTGACATCTGCTTCCACTCCAGTCTGCTTTCCCAAACTGTATCTCAAAACTGCTTTTTGATTTTGGTGATGAGTAGAGGAGGGAAGGCAGCAGCTGCAGTGGCAGTAGAGCAATGCAATTCCTGACTTCTGAAAAGACAAATTAACAGGTCTCTCAGACAGCCCCATTTGGAATTCTGCCAGTAAATTAATTTGCTTATTCCTTTCCTTTTTTATATTACATATGATTTTTTAAAAAACAAATGTCCAATATTTTGAATGTAGTAAGCTGGTAACAGATGACAGAAGAGTTCTTTGACATCTATAAACCTGTGATTGAATAGAACTGTTTGAGCTGTATTTGCTGTGATGCATGTATGCATTTGAAGTGTGTGTCCTGTGTAGGATGCTGGCCATGTTTTAAAAGTACATTTTGAGATGGAGACTGTCTCTGGCAGTGAGTGAATACTTTTCTGTGAAGGGTCGGTCCCTCCTCCAGGTGGGGATAAAGAGCTATTTTAGGTCCAGAAAAAGCTGTTGGGACTTGATGGGAAAGCTTCTGCAACGTATCATTTAGCTATAAAAGTTACGGATATGTTTTCCTGAAGTTAAGGAAACAGTAGACCTGATGTATTTTCAGTGGGTCGTAGAATTGGAGAAAGAAAACAGCAAGAAATAAGTGACTGTGTGAAGTGGAAACAGAACAATGGAGGTGCTCAGTAGGGATGGCTGAGTAACACTTGTGCACATTAATAAAATAGCTGCATGGGGGAAATTTATCAAATTATTTTAAGAACTAGGGGAACTGCTGAGGACAACTGTGGAATTACAGTCTATTTATATTTATAGGTCTGTTCTGGAACCTACTGAAATCAATGGTATAGGTCCATTATCACTCGTACATACAGCATTTTCAAATGTATATATCAGACTTGTATATTTTTTTTTTCCCATTTTGCAGATGGAGAGATAGGGGCCAACTTACTTACGTTTCCTTTTTTCCCTTTCTCCCAAATTATATCTGTCTTTAAGTCATGGCAACAAGAAGGACTTTTTTGGTTTGTCGGTATGGTTTTCCTGAGAGGAGTATTCCTGAGACAGTGGGAAGTTGAGCTGTTTTCTGAAAGTATGAATTCCATTCAGTAATCTGCTTTGGTGCCTGCTCTGTGTTTTTATGATTCATGGTGAGAGAGGTTTCTGTTTGGCAAAGAAGTACACAGCTAAAGTGACTTAAGTTCTGCCATACTATCACTTCTCCTAGGTAGCTTCAGAGGTAAACCAGCATTTTGTCACCCTGGTGTAGTCACTACAGCATTACAGTTTCACTCAAACTCTACAGAGGTAATTGAGTTCATACAATTGGTATCAAGATTAATAACTCAATAGAGCACAAACAATTTGTGCACAGTAGAGGGAGGTAATGCAACATTCAGCACTAGATAATCCACTTGGAGAAGAGACTCACTAAATGCTCCGATGGCAGCTTGCACTATTACTGCTCCTCAGGTTAAACATCTGGGATATGTAAGAAACCAGATTTGCGTGGTTCTGGTACTTGTAATACTGTCTCTGGAGCTCATATAGCCTTCTTTTCTGAAAGTAGTACTACAAAACTTTGAATTAAATCCTATGGGGCCTCCACTGCATTTTACAGACTTCAGTGGGAAGTCTGAGCACAGGAAGAGTTTTATATCAAAGTTTTAGTAAGTGGCTTACCCACTGTAAAATGAAGCAGTGTTTGTAGCTAAAGATACCATCTTTTATAAAGCCAATGGATATCAGAGGGAGAAACAGACAAACTTTTGGGCACCCTGGCTTCTCTTGGAGTCTGACTCAGATGCAGCAAACTCCAAACTGGGAACAAGTAACTTTAACCTGGTTATGTAAATCAATTAATCTGAGAGGAAAAGATAAATTAGAAGTAATCTAATTTAACAGCACATGCTGTAACTTTAACCTGGTTATGTAAATCAATTAATCTGAGAGGAAAAGATAAATTAGAAGTAATCTAATTTAACAGCACAGGTTTCTGATAAATTAGATAGACCTTGTCGCCTGTGCAGGATTAATTTAATCTCTTCATGTAAGAACAGGTTAATGTGTCAGAACAGTGAAGAACTTCATCAAATGTTTTCTTTTGGCTGGAGAATTGTTTGGGTGTTGATATGTCAGGGATGGATGAAATGATTAGAAAACATATAGTCTGTTCAGCTCTGATGGGAGCAAAACCAGACTACCAGTTAATGAGAATTCAGCTGGAACAGAGCCTGGAGTTATGTAGGTGAGAAGAAAAGGGGACTTTTTGGAACTGTGATAATTTTTCTGGTCCAATTGAAGCAACTTCTCTTTCCAAAGCTCATGCAGACATCAACATTATACTGTCCCTAACATGCACAGACCTGCTAAGAAACTATCCAAGTTTCACATGGATAAAGATGAGACTTCCTTTGTAGTCTGAGAAAACATTAACCCACTCATTGTGTGTAACGGCTTCTTTTCTGATAAGCTTAACCATTGCAGGGCAATGTATCCACATGTCTGCCTACTTTTTGGGTACTGCTCTTTGAGCAGTCTATTGTACGTTTAATTTATTTAGCCAGGACAAAAAATTTTAAATATTAAACTTCTCTCTCAGGGTAAATAAATACATATCTAGTAGCAGGATCTTACAGAAAACTAATAGATTCTCAAAGGATAGGACTTTCTGTGGAGTCCTTTTTGGATTATAAAAATTCATCCTTAAGAAATATGAGACTACTGCACTTGTGCACTACTGATGGAGGGACACTCTCAGACAGAAATGGAAGGCTTCATAGAAATATTGCTCTTATGTTGCAGCTCTTTTATTAGATCAGAGAGCATTTCCTTGTCTTTTAATATAAAGTAAAAATTGCAGTAACTCTTGGTTTGAAAAGACCCAGAACCAGGGGCAGTGTTGCATTGGAATGGCTACCTGGTGAGATGTGTCATCTCCAGAGGTTGATGGAAAGCAATAGGACAGCTCTGCAGGGGAAAGTGTTCTTCAAAGTCTTGCATCATATACAAGAGGGAGAGAAAGAAGACACAGGTTTTTTACATATCAATTAACTTCTACTGAGTATATGCATTCATTTCTCCTAATAATTTCTGCAAATTTGTTACATTTTTGCCTAGCTTCTGCAAAGAGAGATTTTTTAAGATGCAGCATTGGAGCATGGTATCAGTAGTCCCAACTTCAGCTTGCCTCCCACAGTCTTGTCTGATTTAATAAGCCGTGTTTTGTGCCTTTTTATGTGTACTTTGAGTTTTGTAATTTTACAAGTCCCATTTTGAAGATTTTCTTC